GGCGGGATTAAAGTAAAGTAATTTTATGTAGATTTGTGAGTTTGTTTTTATATTATATTTTTGATCTTCAACTAATCATTGGTATCATCAATCTAACGAACTATTGGATTTTATTCATTGATGAATGTCTAATAAAGTATGATACTTATCGATCAACATTAACCGCTTATCCAGACACTTTACTCGGTGCCATGTTTGCGGATCGTAATAAAGCAACTCTTCATCCAACGAATGGAAATGAATATTTTATCGATCGTAATGGTCGAGCTTTTCATTACGTTCTTGAATTCTATCGCACAGGTAAAAATCTATGGCTTGATCACACTGCAGCCACCACATTTCCAAATTCGTCCAAACATCCACAACAAGACTGGACATTACCAGTATCACGTAAAGAACTCGAAGAAGAATTTAATTATTTCTTGATTCCGGGACAATCTATCGGAGCTTCATTGACGCACAAAGTTGCCGCAGTTAAATTGGATGAATTTGTGATGGCCTTAAAAGAAGTTATATCGACAGTTGTCTCTTGTTATGGATATGAAGTCACAATAAGCTTCACAATGGAAGATGACGAAATGGAAGTCACTACAGATACTGATAAAACTCCGCATGCTTTCTATAATATCCCTGGTCGAATTAGACATTTCTCTAAGCCGAGTATCGATGGAATTCTAATGGGAATAATGAAGCCATTCCAATTGAGCGGTTATCACATTATATCAATGTTTGGGAAAGACGTCGAAAGACATATTAAAAGTGAAATGCCGGAATTAATTTTTGAATTGTTCCCTGACCTGGGTTTCTATTTCATCTATATGAATTTCAAAAATTGTTATGATCATGACGCTATTTTGCGGAATTCTTGTCTGTTGGGTATTGATCCGGCCGTTGAAGAGGAGGAGGATGGTGTTACGGTGGGTGGTGGGAAAAATGGCGGTGGTGGTTCTGAATAGATTATTCATTTATATGTCAGGTGACTGGATGGAAGGTGTGTAAGATATATTTTTTGAATCATAGATAAAAGTTCACACTCTCCTTTTATTTACAAATAGATTTAGACAATTTTCACATCTTTTGTGTGTGTGTTATTTTCATTCTTTTATTTTTTTGCTCGATAATTGATATTGATAACAATTATTTACACTTAAAACAAATAGATTGTACAAAGAATTCTTTATTATTAATTTTTGGTCATTTGATCCTTTTACACATTACGCCATATTCATATTAGAATATGAGTGGAAGATTCCGCGAATTTTCATTTGGATATTAAGCCAAAACGTCGAAATGTTATCTTCGAACTGTCATCAAATAATAGAAAATCCAATAAATACATATCATAAATTTTATAAATGGAATGCTTTGTTTTTGGAATATTTCATTTAACAAACTTTTATTAGGAAATATTATAATGTTTTTAACCTTCTGTTGAGTGTGCATCAATGTCGAGGTGTAGAAGTACGAGCATGCGATATAATGTGGCTTGTGTGTTACAAACACATGACTTGATTTTTTCCTCTCGGTTTTGTCGATTACGGAAAATCGATTTAAGAAGGGACAAGATTATATGTAAAATTGTCTCACCGACATTTCTTACTAGTACTCCATTTTCATTTTTCGGATTTGCTTTGCCGAGCTGATCAAAATGTTTATGCATTCTCATTGGTTGTTTGGAAAAAATTATTGGTAACTAACAATATTTAGATTATATGCCCTTTCTAGGTGAAGTTAATTAACACCATAGTAATCATGTGATAGTGGCGTCGATATAGACTTGTGTCAAAATAACCTATGGTGCAGATCGTCAAAATTTTAGGTCAATTTTGAGGCCTTATAACTTTATATATAATAATTTTTTCTTTGAAAAATGATCGATCCAAATAAAAAATCGCGCAACTCCTATACTGTCTCAGAAAAACTTATTATTATTGCTTTTACCACAGAGCATGGCATAATGAGTGCTTCCAGAAAATATGGGATTAATCATTCAATAATATCGTTTTGGGTTAAAAACAAAGACAAGTTTTCTACTTCACATTGTAATAGTCGTAGTTTGGGGTCTGGTCGAAAAGCCGCATATCCAGCTGCCGAAGAAAAACTCAATAAATGGATTCTCGAGTTTAGACAAAATGGTATTGCATTAAATGCTATTATAATCAAACACCAAATGAAACATTTGTTAGAAAATGACTTTAAAGATACCTATCCTGAGGCATCCAATACTTTTGTCATGTCTGACCATTAGTTTTATTGATTTCTCAACTATTATGATCTTTCACTATGCTGACAAACAAAAATCTGCCAGAAGCTTCCCAATGATCTAAGTGAAAAGCTTGTTGCTTTTCAATGATTTGTTATTTGACATCATCAAGAATAAAATTATGAACTTGGTCAAATCAGTAATATAGATAAAACCCCTATTTTTTTTGATATGGCTAGAAATCTTATAATCGAAAAAAAAGGAAGCAAAACTGTAATTATACAAATGACAGACAATGAAAAGAATCAGTTTATCTATGTTCTGATAGTTTTGGCTGATGGAACCAAACTTATACCAATGAATATCTTTAAAAAAAATGTTTTTCTAATAATCTATCTTCTGGTGTTATTGTTCAAATACAAGAAAAGGGATGGATGGATGGATGGATGAATTATGCAATTATGAATGGAGAAAGTATAGGAAAAAAGACTGGATGGGCTTATGAAAAAGAAATCCTTGTTAGTAATGGATTTATTTGAGAAACATATAACAGATTTAGTAAAAAAATAATGTAAAGAACAAAATACTGACTTGGCTATTATTTCTGGTAGGCTTATATTAGTTATATAATCTTTGGATATTTATTTAAACAAATCTTTTAAGAATCAGCTTAGAGAAAAATGGGAAGTATGAATGGCTAAAGGTGAATATAATTTGATAAAGAGAGAAAATTTGAAAAAATCTGATTATAATATTATTTGTTAATGAATCATTGAGATATGAAATGATATTTCTACTGAAATAATTATTAAGTTTTTTAAAAAATATGGTATTTCTAATAATTTAGATGAAATAAAGAATGATTATATTATTAAAACTATAATTCAGATAATAAATATATCTTTAAAATTGTATTATATAATGAGAATTCAGTTATAGATTCTGATAATAATTAATAAAATAATTTTAGATATGCTTATTTTTAAATATGCTTATTTTTGGATGTACTTATTTTTAAAATCATATATTTGAGAATTAAAGACTATTTATACTTATTTTTGAATATGCTTATTTTGAGATAAATATAGTAATAATTTAATATTATATTTATAATAGAATGACTATTTGAATTTCATATTTATGATTAAATTTTATATTTATTAAAAATATTTTGTATTAAAAGATTTTAAAAATCAGAATTTTATTAATAAAATTAAAATTTCAAACTTATTCTCTATGAAATTCTGATAAGTGATTATATAATTAAAGATAACTTCTCAACTATTATAATATAATGACAAATAAAATATTATCTAGTTGTAACTAGTTGTGACTTATAAAATTTTGAAATTACAATATATTATAATAGATGATAAATAAGTATTATATACTTGCTGCACTATCTTAATATGTAATCATATTATGATAATTTTAAATTTTTCTAATAAATATATATACATGTATTAATAATTATTATAAATTTATTTTTTTAACTAATATTATATCTTAGCAAGTTAAATATACTTTTTAATAATATGAATAAAATAAAAAAGAAAGATTTGTTATTTTTAAAATAAAAAGATTATTGATTGATAAAACTAATAATAATATGAAGAATTTTTTTTAATAAAAAAATTAATGATATAAGTAAGAATATAAAAGAATTTTGAAAAATAAAATAAAGTTAAATATTAATAGGAAATTGAATGATGATAATAATATTATGAAAAATAAATAAAATAATAAGAAAAATAATAACTGGAAGTTAAAAAATAATATTAAAACTAGAGATATTATCTTAATTAATTATAACTTATAATAGTTAATCAAAGAATTATGATTAATTATGATAATTAATTAAAGAATTATAACTAAGTTATAATATTATTTTTAATTAAAACAGGAAAAAAAATTCAAAATTATTTATTAGATATAATTTAAATTTAATTTAAAATTCAAATATATTCTTGAAAAGAAAAAAATATGATTCTTATTTAATTAAAAAAATTTTAAAATTAACTTATTATGATAAATATAATTTAAATAATTTGTGAATAAAGATATTTAAAAAATATCTGAAATTATTTAGTTTTTTGATATATTAAAAGTAATAATAATATTATTATTAAAAAGATTAATTAAAATATTAATAATACTTCTATAATAATATTAATAGTGATATTAATAATAATAATATTAATAATAATTCTAATAATAGTACTAATAGTAATATTAATAATAGCTTTAATAAATATTAATATTCTAATAATAGTATTAATAATAACTTTAATAATAGTATTAATAATAATTCTAATAATAATATTAATAGTAATTTTAATAATAATATTAATAATGATTCTAATAATAATACTAATAATAATATTAATAATAGTTTTATTAATATTAATTTCAAATTCAAAATTAAATAAAAATTAGAAATATTAAAAAATAAATTTAAATTCTTACACAAAATAATATTTATAATAAATATAATAAAAAATATATTATTTATGAATATCTTGTTAGAATAAAAATAAATAATATAAAAAAATAATAATAAGTAAAAAAATAATAAAAATAATTTATAGTCTCTTTAAACTTCATAATATTAGAGATATTATTAAATATTAGTTATAATATGACTTACTTTTAATTTTTTTATAAGATTAATATCAAAAAATAATTTGATTAATAGATAATAAAAATATTATTAATAAATATTAATAATAGATTAAAAGTTAAAATAGTAATATAATATTATATATTTTTAAGAATTTTATTAAATAATAATTAATTTTTGATCTAGAAATTATAAAAGAAAAAAAGATTTTAATATTAAT